TCTCAAAACAGCAGTAATTCTTAGATATTGCTAACAGGTCTGTGGTATCTGGCAATACAGCAAGGTGCAGTGATTTGAGCACAGTCTGTCACTTTTGAACATTGCAGATGGTTTGCTGGAGAAAGTTGGTTCATTACCCACACCTTGTGTTGTTCCTCCAAGCTCCAGGTCTTGGGGACTGAAGTCTTTCAGATAATGTTTTCCTCTCAGATCTGAGGGGAGTTTGTGAGCAACTGTTCTCAACAAAATATTTCTGTTAGTTCAGTATCTTTGTGTAAGTTTGTTTTTCTCTCTAAGAGTCATGCAACCATTCACTGGCTTCTCTCTGTATCTTCCAGGGAAGAGGAAAATCACCCTATTTAAAATGCTAGGTTTCCTCCGCATAGAACAATATTAACATCAAATGGGGATGTCTACATGAAAGAGTCTTAATTTTGTCATAAATCTCTTTGTAAGACCTGATTGCTCCAATTGCTCCTGATGCACAATTCCACATTTTTGGAGCCAGGCTCATGGGGTAAAATCTTATCAGCTGTAAATTGCTCATCCTGGCAATACTTTGGCCCAACCACACAGCACACAATATCACCTCTCCAGTAAAATATCTATGTGGGCAGGGCTTGCAGGCAATTCCAGCCTAGAATGACTTGTGAACGTTAATGGCAGAGGAATTCCAGATGCTGAGGAAATCTAGAGGCCTCAGCTTGTTCACAGGAAATCCACAAGCAAGAGGGGAAAACAGGGGAGGTAAATTCCCAGGGTAATTGCCTAGACATTTTTATTAAGAGAATATGGTGTTGCATAGCTGACTTAATCAAGTCCCAGCACAGTGTGCTTTCTCAGAAGGGTTAGCTTTCACCTGGCTGATCTTCCCCTCACCACCCTGAGACCTTCAGACTTGCCAGGCTTATGGCTTAAGTCCACTTCTGGTTTAGTTTGAGATAAAACTGCCCTCCAGATCTTCAGGCAGGGCAGTGACTTGAGTATCTGAACTCCAGAAAATGCCATGTGTCACAGGAATACATTTCAAAAGCCTTATTTTCATTCCCACAAAGGAAGAAAACCAGTTTGAGAATGCTGAAGGTTGCTCATTCTCCTGGTTCACTGTCAGTCTAGCTTTTCCCCCACACAGAAGGTGGAGAAAAGGAACCGCAAAGGCAGGATGAATTAACCCTGTTGTCTTTGCAGATCCAGGTCACATCAGTGAGCTCCTTGCCATCCATGGGATCTGTATCCAGGCTGCCATGCTAGCTACAGGCTGCAATGCAACAGAAACAGCCATGGAGAAGGAGTTCACCTTGACAAACATGAAAAAATGCTTTTGTAGGGCTTCCTAGGGCATGTAATTGTACAAAGAGTCTAATGCAGTGTAATTGTTTAATTATCTCACGTGGACAGCTAACAGAGAGGAAAAGCATGGTGGGGGCAGACACCAAGTCATTCTCCTGCTCCACACTGCTCTCAGAGTGAGAACAGATCAGCATTGATACAACAGCAGCTGCTGGGAATAGCAAAGCCTTTGATTGCTGCCTTCATCTTGGGCCAAGGTGCCAAAAGAATAGGGCTGGATTAAGTTGTCATTAGAGTCTGCAATTCAAGTTGTGCCCATCTGATTTTTGCTGCAGTGTGGGCACAGTTTGCCCAGGGCAAACACAACTAAATGAGACCCAAACTTCAGGTTGAACCTCTGTCTGAGACAGACACTGGACTCCTGGACCCAAACCAGGACTGCATGTCCCACATTCAGCTCTGGCTGTTGACAGCCTTCCCAGTTACAAGCTGATGGGGGCTGGAAAATACAAAGTTCAGAAACTCTTTCAAAGTCACATTAGCAGTATGGTGTGGTGAGTAGATCCATGCTTCCTTTCCAGCACTGCACGTTTCCAGATGTTGGATTGGGGAACATCAGCCCAGTGAGACCAAGGAGCTCTGCTGGTCACTCAGGATCTGATCCTTGTTGAGTAGGCAGGAATAAAATGGGCTCTCTAGGCCTGTTTTCTCCTACTTGCTCATTCTGGACTTGGGGATGGATCCCAAGAATCCAAGAGCAGAGAAGAGCTCTCCATTGGCAGAGCACTTTGCACTGCCAAAAAATATCATGAGGGCTAAGATCCAAACCCAGAGTGGCTCTGGACCAACAAAGCCAACCCACCTGTGGCTGGATACCATTGCAAACACAGGCAAACCCTCACCCCCCTCCACCAACCAATTTTGAACAAATAACTGCTGACTGGGGCTGCTCTGTGGCCTGTGGGGAGGATCCTGCAGGGAGGGTGGCTACTTTTGCAGTGCTTACAGTGGTGATTTCATTGAAATACTGCACTGGGAGCCTGAGAGCAGTACGTGTTCAGTGGAATCAGGAGCAGGTAAGAACAATTTGAAGGGACAAGCCAGAAAGCCTGGGAAACTGTAGCAGTGACTCTGGAGCAGGATGAAGCCCAATTAGTGATTTTCAGAAATGTTTTGCTGATAACACTGATTGCGCTTAGCTGCTGAATGAACACAGACAAAAAGTGATTAAAGTCTCCTTAAGAGCTTCTAAATCTGCTCTTCAGAAATTCCATTAAGCAATCTAATTAGCTAATTCTATTAACTGATTAGGTGATATTAATTAGTTAATTTAGGGGGGAAATTTATAAAGCTATCGAAGGAAATATAGGAAAAAAAAGAAGGAGACTTTCGGCCAAGAGCTTCCTTTCTTCACCCCCACCGTGCCTTAATTAGAAATTTTAATTGGCCATATGCTGGGGGTAGGGAATCGCTAATGGACCTCTACTCATCCCATCCTCTCTCCTGCTAGTCTTACATCTTCTGGCAATTCATGGCATTCAAAACAACAGCAGAGGTTGGACTCTTGGGTATATTTTCTTCCCTATTCTTTTTGTCAAGAACACATTGCACAGAGCTGCAGAGTATAAATTTAGGAGAGTATTGGGAAGAGATAAAAATCGTGGATCTACGACACCTCTGAAGGGCTCTTTGGGGAACTGAGCAGCTTCTAAACACATTCTTCCATTTGTGGAGATGGTACTGATAAGCTGACAAGTGTTCCTCATGCCAGCTGTACAGATGGATGCCCATCAGCAGGGATACCCAAGTCACCAGTACTTCCAAAGCAAAGTAGCATGCGGTTGGAGATGCAGGGCTGGAGTGGAGGCCCGTGGGTGGTGTGAAACACAGATGAGCCATGCCCCAGGCACCTTTCCAGAGGTCCTGGGTGAGGGCTCACTCTTGGCAGTTTTGCACAGCATCATCCAGATTGGAAACTTGGCCTCTGTTGCCAGAGACACCCGATCTCAGCTCCTGACAAATGCTGGCAGGGGCACAACCAAGCTTGTGAATCTTCCTGACCTTGATTGATGGATGGGAGCTCCAAACATGCCAAAAAGACTCCCACTGTATCCTGGGTAGCTGTGATCCCAGTGTACCAGTCTGTCACCAATTACACACAGATCTGGTAGGGGGAGGCAAGAAATCTCCCAGACAGCTGCAGCAATTTCTCCTGACAGGCACACACAGAGAAAAGGCTCAGCGTGCTGCAGGCACCTCTCTAAATATCTTCTCCACCTCCACTCTCAGCACCATCCCTGCAGTTGTTCAAGAGATGTGGTTTAGTGGGCAATATTGGTGGTAGGTGGACAGTTGGACTTGATGATCTTAGAGGTTTTTTCCAACTTTAATGATTCCATGATTCTATGATCCTTTTTCAAAAGACAGTGATTTATGAAGGAACAGGAATGAGTAGCACCACCATGCAGCTCCCAAAGACTCCCAAAGCTGAGCTCATCTCATCAAAGCCATTTAAGCACCCCAGCACCCCACATGCTGGCTGACTCTGACGTCCCAGGTGGTCAAGGGCAGCGGCTGAAGAGCAGCTGCAATCCCAGGGAAAGGTGCAGGTGGTTGTGGAGAAGGGAAAGCTAGAATGAGACAAAGCTCTTGTGCTTAGATCAATAAAAAATCATGAAAACCCACAAACAGGGGCAGAACCCTCGGGGACTCATCCAGGAGTCCTGGCAACGTGATGCAGCTGATGGGAGAGGGGCAGCCCAACTGCTTCTGAGTGCACAGAGTGACTTTTGCAGGGTGCTCAGCTCCTTGCAGCAGACATTATGGCCTCAGCTGCAAATATTTCATGCGCAGTGAAAATTGCATTGCTCACCTGTGGTGTAACCAAAGCAAGCCATGGTCCGACTCCTTCCCAGGGACATCCTGAGGCATAGATCAGTTTGGACTTCTTGTGAAAGGTGAAGATCCAGCTCAAAAAATAAATGTTGCTTTAAGGAGAGCAGAAGCTGTGATGAAACCAGTTTCCACAGAAGGCAGTTTGGTCTAAGCTACAGCATTCAAGTTTTAACAAATATATGGCAAAGTGACCGCTTCCTCTCTCCCCTGGCTGGATGCTGAGATAGGTACCCAGATGTCAATAATCTAGGTGTTGTCCTGCCTTTGGAGGGTGAATCCATGCCCAGAATGATCTAAAATGATAATTTGCTTGTCCTTCTGTTCGCAAAAGCCTGCAAGCCATGCACATGGGAGCTCAACTACTTTGGGATATTCTTACCACTGGGCTGGGAACAAGAAAGCCCAGAGTCTCCCAGTTCCTAAGCAATTAGGTTCTTATCCTTCCAGATGCCCAGCTTACTTGGGGCCCAGGTTGACCTTGATCACATCACTGTTACATATGCAATCACATAAGCCTCTGATGGCCATCTCACCTGCCTCCCAAGGACAACCTTCAGATGCTTACATGGGGAGCAATGTCCACCTTCAGTAACAACACGGATCCCATCTCCCTCACCTTTCTGTCAGTATAATGTCAACAACTTGGAAGCAGTAAGGCCAAGGCACACAAGAGTTTGCAAAAAGTAAATCTTGGACAACCACAAGGCTGGTCACATTGTAAGCTGCATGCATAAAAATCTCTGAGCAGCAGAGGGCCAATTTCAAGCTCAAATCATCAGAACTAGGAAACAAAACTGAACTCAGCTCCATGCAGAATGCATCAAGGTGATGTTTTTTATTATTTCAACACCAAGTTGTTATCTTTTGTCCCATTGTTCTGTTCTGTGCCTCACCCTCATCAAAGTCTGGTGATTCTTATTAATTATTTCACGGGATAAATTCAGAGTCTTTGGACCAAATGATTACATGGAGGGATGGACACAGTCACAGAGAGAATTTAGAAGATCCTTTGAAACTACTCCTTGGGATGATTTTCTCAAAGCTACCCTGATATTTTTTTAAAGAGGAGGTGAGCCAGCAAGATACTTCTTACAGTCTGCTCTTATTCATGGTCTGGGGGCCTGATTAAAATCAGGGCAACTCCATACTTCTCAATCCTGTCTGCTTCTTCCTTCCTATCAAGTCTTCTGCAGAAATTAATGCTCCCCTTTCCCTTCCCTTCCCTTCCCTTCCCTTCCCTTCCCTTCCCTTCCCTTCCCTTCCCTTCCCTTCCCTTCCCTTCCCTTCCCTTCCCTTCCCTTCCCTTCCCTTCCCTTCCCTTCCCTTCCCTTCCCTTCCCTTCCCTTCCCTTCCCTTCCCTTCCTTTTTTCCTTTTCCCCTTCCCTATTTCCTATTTCCTTTCCCATTTCATACTTCCTTTCTTTCTTTCCTGCATTACAACATGAGTTCCATTGAAGGATGAGAAATGCTATCATTCAAAAATGTTTCTCATGTATCATTATGTCACATTAAGAACCTGGACTGTAGATGTGAGTCCTCTGCTTGGAATTGCCTCAAATCCTGTTTTCTGTAGAAATGAGGCTGGAGGGCAGCAAGAATGCTTTGTGTTAAATGTAGGATATGAGACATTTCTATGTTCCATACAAACATGTAAAAAAATTATTTACTGTGAGAGTGATGAGCCCTGGGAGGCTTCCCAGAGAGGTTTTAGAATCTCCTTCCCTGGAGATGCTCAAGACATACCTGGACACTTTCTTGTACAATTTGCTGTCAGGAGTCTGCTTGGATGGAGATGGGACAAGATGATATCCAGAGGTCCCTTCCAACCCCTATCATTCTGTGATTCTGTGATTCTATGATTAGAGATTGTAAAACTATGAATAGCAAGGGAAGGATGAATATTCAACAGTTATAAGCAGGACCAAGCAGAAAGACCACAATTAAATGCAAAAAGAAGCACATTTTCCCGTGCACACATCATTAACCCACAGCACTCATTGCTGCAGGATGCTGTGAGCAGAGATCTAAGCAGAAACTCAACAAAATTAATGGGATTATATCGATCAGCAACTACTGAACACCTTGCTCCCGAAAGCACTCTTCAGCTCCACAAGTCCTAAGCTGCTCCAACAGCAAAGGACAGCTTTTGGGACAACATAGGGGAGCACACAGCAACTCCCATAGCTTCACCACCACCCATGAGCCCCACAGCACCGGCTGCATCTCAGTGTGCACTTTTGCGAGGATCCCTGGGCAGCAGAAGTTGGTACTAAAGTTCAGCTGTAACAGGAGCTTTGTTTAGCGGTGTTGGGACCAGAAGGTCAGCAGCAGCTGCTCTGCCAGGGTTTAACACTTTGTTCACCTCCACGCGCTCGCCCGTGCAGAATTTCCTGTCCTTCTTTGAGGAAGAACCTTCTGTTATTTTGTTAGCCCTGTTATTCATCAACTTTAACTGAGTTATAACAGGGAGAAGCCAACCTGCGTGCAGCTCTGTTGCACTGTAAGACAGCAGCTAGCAGCTCTTCCTTGCTGCTTTTTTCCTAAGCAACCCCAGGCAGCACCAGGAAATTTCACAGCTTGTATTTTTTGCAAAGTTCCTCTCAAATGACGGCGGCTCTCGAGAGCCATGGGGATGCACCACTGTTAGGGTATTTAAATCAGGATGACACACAAGCACCAGAATAAAACTGCACACGGGAGGAGATAAGTGCAGCAGTGCAGAGTGCTCAGCTGCTGTTTCTCAACCCAGATCTCACCTAGCCTGAAATATTTTATTGAAGCTCTGAAAGACTGAGGACTGCCTGAGGTTATTTATTGAGCTCTGAAAGGCTGAGGACTGAGGTTATTTAGACTGGATATAAGGAAAATGTTTTTTACAATAAGGGCGGTGAGGCACTGGCACAGGTTGCCCAGAGATGTGGTGGATGCACCATCCTTGGACACATGCAGGGTCAGGCTGGATAGGACACTGAACACCTGATGGAGCTGTGGGTGTCCCTGTTCATTGCAGGAGGGTTGAACTAGACAGCCTTTAAGAGCCCCTGCCAACTCAAATGATCCTATAATTATATGATTCTATGACCATGTCCCTGTGACAACTCTCAGGTTATGTCCGACAATCCCCTGGGAAAAGCAGCAGGTCTATTGTGGGGACTGTACAGCAGTATGGGAAGGCTTGTGCTGCTGTGGGGACCAGTGAGTGAAATACACTGATGCACATCCCCTCTGGCTGCTCTCAGATCTAAAGGTCTCCTCCCAGCCTGATGGCACTCCCACTTCCAGCAGCTCCAGAGAGGTCAGCCCAGCCCTGCCCCAACACACGTGCCACAGCCTCTGCTCAGCCCTGGCGGTGGCATATCCAAGTGTGGCAGCACGCCATGTCCTGTATGTACAGCCAAGGCATCTTGGAGAAGATAAAACTCCAGCAAACCCCAGCGGCTTCCCAAGCACTTCCCCACCCTGCCAGGCCATGGCCACATGCCTCCCTCTGAGCTGCCCTCAGGTCAACACACTGCATGCCATGGCTCTCCAGCAGTCCCTGCCTGAGTCTTCAGCAACAGTCCCAGGAGTTATGGCCCTGAATTACAGTGCTCTATTATGGTCATAGACTTTTATTCTCCAGCTTCTTTGCTGAATGGTTGCGACAATTTGACAAGAATCCTAGAGGAATCCCGGTAGTTGGAAGCTGCCACCCCTGTTTGCTGTGTGAAACTTCCCCATGGCTTTGCTGTTTATTCTTCCCACAGCATCTTATGAAGTTGGATCAGTATGTTCACAGAATCATAGAATCACAGAATGGATTGGCTTGGAAAGCAGCTTAAAGCCCATCCATTTCCAAGTCTCTGTCATGGGCTGGTTGCCCCCCACCAGTTCAGGGGGGGCTCCTTATCCAGCCTGGCCCTGAGCACCTCCAGGGATGGGGCACCCACAGCTCTATGAGCTGCCTGCGCCAGCGACTCACAGCCCTGTGGGTGAAAAATTTCCCTGACATCATTCAGATATGAACATCATGTCACCTGCAGAGCTTCTCAAAATTCCAACCTGACAATATTGCAGTCATCTCCTCATGTCAGGTCTTGGTCATTTATTTAGCAATATGCTGAAGGACTCTTAGGGCCCATTCATGAATAGATCATGGAGATTTTGGGCAGAGTCGACCCTGTTCAGGTCTGGGCAATGTGAAAGCAGTAAATATGAATTTGACTGCTGAGTGTCTAAGAGCACTTACACAAAAATTCTGGGCACTGGCTCAACATATCTGGTTTTAGAGAGGCCTGAAAACAGAACTAGGAAAAAAAGATTATCCAAAGTCCAGAGTTGACTTTTTGCTTTCAAAGATTTATAGAATCATTAAGGTTGGAAAAAACCTCTAGGGTCGTCAAGTTCAATTGTCCACTTACCACCAGTATTGTCTATTGACCATGTCCCTCAGTACCATGTCTCTACAGTTCTGGAACACCTCCCCTGGCACAACTTGAGGCCATTCCCTCTCGTCCTATCAAAATGAAAATGTTGGTTAATGATATCCCTCAGAGGCTTGTGGAATAGGAGCCACTCTCATCTGGGCATTATGCAAAGCAAGTCACTGGTCTTCCTACTTACAGCTTTATTTCTGCCAAATCTGATTCCTATCAAGATCATTTATCGGATCAGATTTCTCGCAATCAGTGTATCAGTAGAAAGAGGTAAAGTAGAGCCGGATAACAGGGGAACAGCTTCTTAGCGAGCTTCCCTGTCAATCTAGAGATACTCAAGTTATGTGACACATCCAATTGGCCATGTGGTCTGTGCATTCCTGTACCACAACAAGTGTCCATCTGCACACAACCAAACAGAAGGAAAAAGTCTTTTACGGTCAGGTGGAAGCTGCCCATTTTTGCTGGGGCCATGAAGAGGGAAGCTGGACAATGAAGCTGGACATTCACACAATGAACGATGGAGGTGCCTCCTTCACCAGCTCCACCATATGCAGCTTTGGCCATGGGAAAGAAGTCCCAGTGGCTCCAATGCTTTGCAACACACTGGAGCAAGCTACCTGCAGGGTGAATGGTGCTCAGCTCCAGCAGCATCACACTGGGAGCCAGTTTTGACAAATCATCCACTGAGGGCAGCAGGAGGAGGCAGATGTTCTTATCTGATCTGAACCAGATCGCACATCTCTGGCAGTCCCTCTGGTAATGTATAATCTTGGGCCAAGCCAAGAAACCTGATCCCGTGCTGGGGCCTCCAGCTGTTACTGCGCTACAGTCATAAAACCTGCTTCGTGCACCTGCTTGTATAATCTTGTTCCACAGGGGAAACAGCCTTCCTGACCATCCCCAGAGATCACTTTTGCCCTGACAAATGAAGCCTGCAAGTCCTTGTAATTTTAGCTAATATGGTTAGCATTGGCTGCCTGCTCCTGTACGTTTGTTAGTATGATTCCTGTACTGAAAGTATGAGTTTTGAGCATTGGAAGCCCTGCAGTGAACATGGACATCTACAGCACAATCAGGTTGTTCAGAGCCGCACGCAAGCTGACCTTCAGTGTCTCCAAGGATGGGGAGACTGAACGTAAGGACCTTTCTCTTCCTCTCAGCCCTTCTGGGCATGGTGATGATGGGTGGATGGTTGGGTTAGATGATCTTATTGGTCTTTTCCAACTTTAATGGTTCTATGTGCTCTAGGAACAGACCAGGAGAAACAACACCATTTGCGAAAGCAACAGTGACCTTTCAAGAAAACTTCAGGAAGAACAGTTGTGTAGATCCAAGTGGAGGTCCCTACAAGAGCTGTGATGTCCATGAACACACTGCATCTCCTCTCAGTGACATTCTTCATCAGAACAAAACCAGACCCTTTGTGAACCACAGCAAATTCAGAGCCAGAGGTAGATTTCTGTCCTGCTCTCACCTTTTTATTATTCTTTTCCCCTGAAATCCACTGGAAAGTTTCCACAACGCAGCAGCATAAAAGGGAACATGATACAGTAATTTCCTGTGGAGAGGAAGCTGTAAGTCAATTACCAGCTACATTTAAGCCAGGAAAAAGTCTCAGAATTTAAGAGGAGAGACACCAGTAAAATCCTATAGGGACAGACTAGGAATAGAAGAATGAATATTTTTGCACCGTTTCTTTTGAAACCACAGAAGAGCAGAGCCGGGCAGGAACAGAGTGATTCACTGAAGGCTTCCACAGCTCCATAGGAGATGTATCCTCCTCTAATAAGTGACAAAGGACCATCTCCCCACTCTTCTCAGTGGCTGCAGCAAAGTCAAAGCAGATGCTGAGACTGCCAGCAAACAAGGGCTGGACCTCACTGCAGCAACACAGCATGTGGCCAAGGCCTGGCTGCTCCACGTCGCATCCCTTCCCATGGCTGTAGGAAGGCTGCTCCTCAGCAGAGCTTTCAGCTGACCTGTCTGCTACAGGTTCTTCCCCTGCCCCCTCTCCCTGCAGAGGGCTGCCCTAAGTAAAATAATGAGCATCTGCTGTCTGTAGCTGGTTTCCTTTCATCCCCTCCACAGGCAGAGAGCAGCCTGGCAGGAATAGCAGCTCCCTTGTGTTGTTCTGCATGACCCTAGGGCAAAAAGGTGCCTTGAGTCACACTCAGCAGTTCCTTTTAGCAGCAAACTGTAAATATTTGGGACAAAAGCTTTCTGGATCCACTCAAACAGGGTCTTTGGGGGTGCAGAGAGACCTGCTGCAGCAAGAGCTTCACTTAACTGTGCATCCTGGCCCCTTCCTAAAATTCCATTACATAGAGGGATGGGACCTTGCACCAAAGTCCATCCAGGAATGTTCAGTGAATCAGATCAGGTGCAGAGTCCCACAGTATCCAAGTGTGCAAGCATTAACACCTTGTTAATACCTGATGCCATATACTGCTTCATTTTCCTGCCTGTGGTGCCAAGTCAAATCCTCACACAAATGAAGAATGACAAAGTCTGAAGTTTTTGCAGGAAGAGAAAGACCCTGTGTCTCCCTGCCTCCAAGTGAAACCAAAACAGGCAAAAATATATTGTCCCTTACTGAGAAGAAGACCTGGACGCTGCTCCTTACCAGAGACAGGTGGACTATCATGCTGTTGTGTTGTATAACGGGATCTGACCTCCTATACCTAGTCTTAGAACCTCAGAATCTATCATTCCTATCAAAATGGGTTAGGAGAGCAGATCCATGTTCATGTAGCCCCCCAGTTCAACAGCTAGCTGCAAGTCTCCCAATGAACATGAGCTAACTTCTGGTGGGCTTGTAGACCTGGGACACTGCACCTTGCCTGGCTTTTTGTCTTATTTGTTCCCCTGTCCCAGTAGCTTCAAGACACCCCTGTAAGTGTTGGCAATGCAGCAAAATGCAGTTAGAGTGCTTCTCCTTGCAGTGCAATTCATTTCATTGTCAATGGTGCAGAGAGCCTCACGGACTGAAAGAGCTTCAGATTAGCTTAATGATCAAGTAAAGCAGCTGCAATGGATATTAGTACCTGCATCAGTCAGACATATCATAAGCAAAAGACATGGCAAAGCACAACAGCACCAGTTTCCAGCTGTGCTGAAGAGAGTAAAACAAATGGGGAACTTTTCCCCTTTGTTTTATTCAATCTCTGTCACAGCTTCATAGAACTAAAGAGTAATTTGGGTTGGCAGGGACTTCTGGAGGTCTGCAGCTCAGTGCTCTGATCAAAGCAAGTCAAGGATCAAGGTTAGCTCTAGTTGCTCAGGTCCTTACTCCATCGAGTATTTATTGTCTCCAAGGACTGAAACTTCACTCTCTGGGATCCTCTTCTTGTGCTTCAGCAGTCTCACGAGGGAGAACTTTTTCCTTATGTCCAAAAGGTTGTGCCAACTGCCTCCACTTTTGTTGCACAACTCTTCCCTATAGCCCTTATTTGGGTAAATATATCATAAATTGCCTCCCCTTTTTATCTTCTCCAGATGCCCTGAACAACTCCTTTGATCCAGAGTGAAACATTATACTCTGGTTTCTGGTAAGAAAAACATGAATGATGAATGCTGGATTTTGGCTTTAGGGGTTGGTGTCACCTCCCCTTCCAACCTCTCCCCACACTACATTTTCCAGCACAAGCTTTTCGTTAATTTGAGGTTGGATGTGTAAATGTTCTCCTGGGTGACCAAACGTCACATCAAACTGAATATTCACTAGAAAAATGCACAGAGGGAAAAGCACTGGAAATTGGGTGCCTTTGAAAAATCTCACCCGTTCTCAGCATCCTTCCCCTCCACTCTCATGGGTTTTAAATATTAAAACAAGGAGCTGTTGGCTTTGATACAGAAGTAGTCTAATTCTCTGCCCAAGGTATTTCCCTTCCTGGCTCTCTTCCCTTTCAACTCAGAGTGATATATTTTTTTTTAATATATATTTTTTAATTCTGCAGTATTTGCCTATTTCCAACACCTCCCCCACGTGGCACAGTGTCAAATCAGCAGCAAGCAGGCCAGCAGAAAAGCATATTCCCATTACTCTCAGCGCTACAGTGAAAGATTTTAAGACATAGCCAGTAAATTGAGTCTTCTGCAGTGTAGCTGCTAAGCAGAAGTCCTTCTTGCAAGAATATCACCATGTGCTGTGCGTAACAAGGAGCCAGCAGGCTACTGCTGTTAGTGCAGATGGTTGGAGGGTCAGCCTCATGGTGCCCAGGCTTCTGGATGGTTTTCCTAGAAAGCAAAGCTACAAGTCTGGGGAGAAAATGCAAGACCACAACCAAGGTCTGAGAGCCCCATGATGCACTGTTGAGTGGGTTTGCCTCTATCAGGCTCAGTAACTAATCATGAACAGACACTAATAGTCATGATTCCTCATCCAGGTATGTTCCTGTGAGAGTAAGGTCCACAGGCAAGTGTGAAATTTCCCCTTAGAATCTGTTTTTCCTTCACTAATTCCCTCCTGCTATTATTTTTGTCTCATATCAAAGTCTAAAAGGACTTGTCTATTTGAGAAAAGAGATAGAGGTGCGCACGAAGCATATGATCCAAGAACCACTTTCCATTCTATTAGCCCACTAAGACATAAACAAATTACTAAGAAAACACTGTAGTTTCCTTTTTCTCCAAAGCAAACTAAATCCTCACCCTGCATGGGCAATTACACAGTCAACATGTGATTAGATTATCACAAGGTGGCCATGGCCAGACCTAGCAACTGGATAAAATGGTATTTTGGGATATCCACAGATGGTACTTTGGGATACAATTGCTCTTTAAAGATTTAAACTTCAGCTGGTTTCAAGAAGATAAGCACATGTAGGTCTGTGCTTTGCTCCAAGCCCTGGGATTTTATCTTTTCCTGTCTTTACTGACCCAAAAATGAAGGTCTTTCTGTACAGCTCTTACCACATCAGCACAACACTTCTACTCAGTGAAGAACAATATACATCTTTCTGCTTCAAAATGTTCAAATGCCACAATGATTTTGGGAAAGAAACTGAACATGGGAATATGGCCATGGAAGCCAAGCTCCAGAAAGAAGTATGAGCACCAGGCTTTTGCTGTGGATATCTGGTGCCCTACAACACTTTCACTACTGCTATGAAGTTCTATTTATTTCATCACAGACCATTGCTCTTTGCCTATTCTAGCTGTTGTTAATTAACAATGTCTGTCTCAGTTGCCACTATCATATTAATCTGGTTTCATGTAGTTTATAGCAGACCAAAATGTTTCCATCTTTATTACTTTTCTGCTGCTCCTTCTGTAAGAAACAAAGATAAATACTGATCAGTCTGACAGATAAATCAAACACAACTAACTGGATTATTTTCATTAAGTAAAATTTATCATGCATTCATTACATACACCTTACTCCTTGAGAACAAAGTAGCTTTCTTGGATCATAATAAGTAAGTGTATTGCTTGCTAGGAGATATGTGGAGCATATTTCTTGCCATAAGGAGTACTGTGGGCCTCTGCAAAGCAAAAGTTTATGCCTTTAAAAATCCCTGATACCACACGTTTAGTAACAAAAACTGACTATACAGCCTTGCAGTGCAGACTAACCTGTATTTTATTTAAGTCAACTTCACCAGCTTCTAGTTGGTCTGCAATCTTGACCCACAGAACTTCCTTGCAAACCAACTGAGAGTCAAGGATGTCAAGTCAAGCATCATTAGAAAAGATGAATATCCCAGCTCACGTGAGGATGTCTCATTCCTCAGTGCCATCAATAACTCTGTCCATAGTTTGAAAACAAGACTTTTACATGGAGGTGTCTGAACATCTGTGTCTGCATGTAAACTGAGTGTCTAGGCTGCCATAATATCAGCAGAGATAAGTGGCTCTTTGTGATACCAACTGATCCCTCAAGATAGTCAAAATATCTGTACATCTCTAGTATGGCAGATGGCAGATGTAATCAGAGACCTTTGGGAGACTCTTCTGTGGCCACAGCTGGAGCTCATACAGAGGAACTTTGGGACATCTCAAAGACACAGGGCACCATGGTGGGAAGGGAGTCTGTAACGTACCCAATACAGTCCAATGACTGCAGGGAACAGTTCACACCATCACCTGATGTGGGTCTCCGTTAGAGAAAGATGAATTTCTTTGCAGGCTTCACAGGCTGTATTGACTGAATTTCTACTATGATGGGAACTCGGATGCCTGGTTGCCATTTGAACACAACGTTAAACGCCAAAATTTTGTCGTTTTAACTTCAGGCTGAACAATCTCTCATATGTACTGAATCAGGTCACATCGCCCTCAAGTGGAGAAAGGCACTATCACAATGAGCTGAGCAAGCCAGTGAGCACCAGGATGCTGTTTTGAGAATGTTAAAAAAAAACCAACAACAAACACCAGACATATCTATTCAGTCCTCCAGGACTATGTGTGCCACGAAAAAGCTCAATTGTGAGAACACAAAGGTTGCAAAGCACAGCCCAGAAAAGATACGGTGGAGAAAGCCATAACTCATACTGCCAAGACACCATCATAATTCAGCCACCTCCAACACTTCCATTATGATAGAATCTCGCCAACTCAACATCAAACAAAAGGCGGCCGCAAAGCCAAGAATACAATTTACCTCTCCATGCTGTGCCTTAATCACAAGAGAAAGTATTTTCTTTATGGCCCATTGCATTTTTCCCTGTCTAACCGGCATACTGGATGAGGTTAGGGCCCTCTGCTGAAATAGGCAGAATCTTGTAAAAAGAAATCAAAATAGGAGATCAAACTGAACTCATGTGAACGGTCTGATTTCTGGCAGCTTCTAGCACCAGGGTGCTCAACTTTGCAACCTTTGGAGTCTTACTATTGTTCCTCATTGGACTTTCTCCAGGTTTGGGAAAAAAAAAAAAAAAAAAGAAGTAATGTGAGAACAAAAGCTCTTTTGCGTGGAAATGTACTGACTAGGCTCACTCGGGTCTAGAGAAAAATGTAATCTATAGTTTAAAAGGCAGATCTTTACGATCTGAGGGAATAACCAATGATAGTAGCAGGGGATTACCCTCCTTTGGAGGCACCACCTGAGGACAATACATTGTGTGCTCTGTTTACATGCTAGATATGAAAGTTTCTGAATCCTTCACCTGGCTCTGGGAAGGAGTAAAGACAACTAACCATATCCAGGAAACTCAAACTTGGTGTCTGTCCAGATCACCTACCAGGAAGAAACATAACTTGCTCACACGCTGTCCTCTTCCAGCTCTGTTTCTTACCCCCATAGCAGGAGAGAAAATCCCCAGCAAAAATGATCCCATTGCTTGGATTCTCTCTATTTTCTCTTTCTCCACATGTGCTCTCCTATTAGATCCCCTTATTTATTCTATATATAGAAAGTTATATAGAAAGTCAATGTTTGGGATATAGGAAAGGTTGAGCACACTACTGAAGAGAAAGGGAATAGGTGAGATATTCCAGGTTAACAACAAACATTTCTGACTGCCTTAGATACATCAGGCAAATGGCTGAGATCAAGACAAGGTAGTTTCTGGGACAAATTTCATCCACCCAGATTTACAACATTTCCACTCCAGGATAGCCTGTGCCCATTCCGTTCCCAGACTTCCCTTGTAATCTCATCATGGAGCAACATGTGTGCAGCCCATTTTACAGCACAAGGACCTAATTACATTTTCCAGCTGTGCAGCAGACTCCCACTAAGCACAATAAAGCCTACAAATGTACATTTCTTAGCTACCACACGTGGACCTCTTGGAAGAAGTCCATGACCCCTAAGCCGATAAATGATCTGAAGGATGTCTGCACCCTTCTCACTTCCACTTGGAGGGTGTTTTATCTTTTCATTTATCAAATCTTGCCTTTCCAACCAAGTCCACTTCACATTTCCTCAGACGCCCAATTGCCCCCAGGAAAACACCAAAAGCCAAAACTACTCTCTATTGCACCATATTGTCTTTGGCAGCAGCTGATGGTTATTTCCCTCTCCACTGCAAAAAGCCTGACAAGGAGCTTCATGTCTCTGGCAGGTGTAAAGTTACTACCACCTGCCAATGTGGAGGATCTTGAGGGGAACCCAATTCAGTCTGAACACCAAACTGCCAAACTCAGAACATGAACCCCACCAACGTGTCACTGCAACAGCCAAGAAATGATGTGGTGAAGAAGTAAAGGAGAGATTTAAGTAGGAGAAAAAAGAATCGCTCTCCAATAATCTCTTATTTATTAAACAAAAAACAAACAACAACAAATCAAAACAAACAAAAAAACCCCACAATCTTGATGAGAAAAGCAGGCCCCAGGCAGCCACAGGGAGTTTATTTAAAGGAGGTTCGTATTCTATCTTCTGCAGAGTTTCATGGAGTACTTCATGGAGCATTAAGGAATTATCTAATTTCATCTCTTCTATACAATAGGCTGTGATCCAGTCCTTTTTCAAGCCTGTTAATCTAGATTTGGAAATAGCTCTCCTCTGGAAATAAGGCAACAGTGCTGTGGCTGAGAGTAGGAGGCACTGGGGTCCCATTACTTAGGGGTACATCTTGATCATGGGTGCTGGGGTGAATGCTCCTTGGAACAAAACAGTCTCTGGGATGGGGCTACACTTCAGATAATCTTTGATCTTTAGGTCAGATCTAGAGTCTGACCTCTTGGTCAGGAGAAATTAAGGTGGAAGTAGACTGGAGCTCCAGGGCAGTCTGAATACAAGCAAGCACAACTATGCTGGGCATCACAGAACTGGCCACTCTTTGCATAGCAAACAGAATGGACTGAGAACAAGTTGGACCAGGTGTCATCAGGCCAATCTACAAATGGTTATCCATGAAGGCTTTGGATACCTCCATTTAAGCCTAAATCTTTTAACACGCCTTGCTATAGCACTTGGCACAATATCATCTACCAAACAATCAATGATAACCATTGAAGATAATGCAGGATATGTTTGATTAGCATATCTGAACTGTTGTGGACGGCCTTAGGAAGTCAAGGATGAGTTAGTCTGGGCATTAGCTAAAGGACCTGAAACTGAAGCATTTGGGTTTTTTTCTGGGCAAAAGGCTATTAGAAACAGCTTGAATGTCACGGAGCCAATAGACAATTTTTTCTTTATCTGGACTGAGAAATGGTGTGACTGTAGCCATCTGCTTCAGCTAGATGAATACATTTTATCTTATTTCTATACAAAATAGAAGAGGGACCTGCACCCTCAATTGCATTCCTGACCCCAAGTTGGCATCCATAGGATGTCCACTTGCAGATGCCCCAAATTTGCATGACATTTAGTAACCACATTTATGCCAAATTTCTGGCTTAGAAGGCAATTTTAGTATTATCTTTAAACAGCAACAACAATGAAAAAACACAAAAAAACAAAACAACCTTGTATTTGATTGCCAGTGTCTGTTTCCTCATTTTATGTGTGGGTTTATTTATATTCTACACAATATTTGCATACCATTGCTATCTGTGTTATATATAACTTTCCCGTTCTATATCTCCCTTGCTATATTCTTTGTTTGCCCACTGTACTGACTGACTATATTGTCAAGCAAAATTTTCCTTAATCTGTCACCATGAAAACCTAATCACTTTGGGGAAGGTCCCCTGACCTCTTGTGAACCCTGATCTCATGTCTGGGAATGAGCAGTCCACTGTGAATAGAGGATACTTCTGAGCATTCAGAGGATGCTGAGACCATACTGACTCAGGATGTAGTTTGGCTGTTAGTGTCAATAACACAAGAAAATGCATGGTATATGGACTCACAAGACGAAACTTGCTTTCTGTTACAAGAAGGCACATCACCTATGTGGATTTTCCTTCTGTTTCTTGCATCCTGCTGTGCCCACCCACAGCCAGGTGCTAACACCTCCTTGGCTTCCAGTGACTGAGGTTTGGGCTTTTGCCATGGGAAGGCTTAGGCTTGAATTCTGCATCTGATCACAATGGCCACCTTTTCGTTACACAATCCCTCTGCCAGTGACAACAAGAATATCAGTCAAGGCCTTTCCTCCCTTAATTTCCAGTAATCTCCTGAATGAGCCATCAGGGCCACCCATGCAGTGCTCCCTGGGTTTCTGCAGAAGACACTGAGTTGTGCTTCCACTCACTGTAGGTGTGAGTTCAAAAGCAAATCAGCCTTGCTGACTCAGAGGCCCCACTATGGCTCTTTGCCATACTCTGCTGCGCTCCAGATGAGTCACCCCATGGGTGAGTAATACGTTGCATCTGCAGTGCATATTTATGGCAGTTTTGCATTGACCAAGTCAGCAGGGAAATTGTTTGTGTAGAGTAACCATGGAGAGAAAGGAAACATTGCAGAGGACCAAGAGATTAGGGATGAGGAAAAACCAAGAGGGAAAAACATATTCCACCCCCACAGCCCCAGAGTGCTCTACCTATGTGGACATTGTGCTTAAAAAGGAAATATTTGTTTATGGCTTTTTTCCCCTCTTTTCCATGTTGTCTTCCAAATGGGGAAAGATGAAACACTATGTGAAGAAATAGACTTGTGGTGGTGTCAGCTAAGTCTGGAGCCCCATAAATCTCACAGGGAAGCATGTTTGCACAGTAGACACAGCTCTACAAGGTTTTTCCCACCTACATTAGCTGACACACGGAAGGTATCAGGTGGGTTCCCCTCATCAGACCTTTCACCTCACCTCACCCTCTAAGATCACATCTCATTGCTTCATCTCTTAAATCATGACTAAGTTGCTGCTGAGGGTAGACCCCAAAATCTTGCTGCCTACCTCTCTATCAAGTTTAGTAAGGGCACAAGAGAAGCAGGCAGTGAAGGAAAGGCTGTGTCATTTGGGTCCTACCGGTCCGTGCTTGTAGAGCGCTCATGTATATCTTTTTCTCCCCTCCATCACTGCACTTTGTACCATCCAGACTGACTTTGAAAGGAAAAAGGCAAAAAAATTTCCATCTTATACTTTAATGAGAGGTAAGGTATTTCTTTTTCCAGGAACAGTTTGCACGACAGTTGCTTTAATAGCTAGTAAAGGACTACGAAGTTATTGTGTGTTTTCATAAACGGGCAATAAGTCAATAGATAGTCACCTATAAATGTTCACACTGATATAGTTTTAACCATCTGTTAGTTCGCACTTGCATCTACATCACTCTATTCTGCATCAACATAATGAATTAATCATGAGTATGGTCAGTTCTTCTCTTCGCCTGCATTTCTCCAAGCCAGAAGCATCTTTACACAATGAGTTTTACAGGGCAGCAAGTCTGGCTCACTTCTAAATATTATTAATTTTCCTACCCGCCTGGTAGAAACAATGTCTCCCTCTGCAAAGGAGGAATGGGGGACAGTGCAATTCTGCAGTTGTGTTCACTGTAACACAAACTGCATAGTTCTTGGCTTGAGATGAAGCAGAAAATATCCCTGCTCCTGTGCAAAGTAGGTTGTACTGCGAATACTAACAAAACATAGAAGCAAAGACCCTTCTTTTTTTCACTGCAATACAGACCAGCTTCTCATGTCATTTACAGCAAAATTCAGCTGAATACACTCTTTTGACAAAATATTGTATTATACATATTTTTAAAAATCATTTTGAGTCAAGAGAGCAGCAAAACCAAGTGAACTGATTTGCATGGCTGAAAAAGTTGTACTTTGTACCACTGAGAACTGATATGCATACAATGGGTAAATATACAATGAGAACCAGTGAGTTTAATTTACTTTCCAAACAAACTAGACAAGGAAAAGATTATCTCCTCCTTGGAGCTTGCTTTGAGAAGTTTGCTGTGGACTTACAATGACACAACCTTCCCTCCATGGTGTGATTATCTTAGATTACACATAAAAATTAGATACGCTGAGGTAAAAATAGCTATGCTTTATATCAATCTGAAGATAAGGCTATTCTTCATTGCATTTCTTTTTTCCAAATATATCAGTGCTTTTCAAAGTTCCCTGTGCTGGGACCAGTTTCCAGCCAGCCCATCCAGCAGCAGGTTGGTCCTTCCAGGCAGGGAGTGAGACGTGCTGGTATTCACTGATTGCAGAGGTAAAGCATGCACCAAGGGCTGGCAATTCAAGGCAGTCAGCAGCTCCCCAGCTGGGGTGAGCTCTGCTAACCAGCAGGTTCTTCTCATTTCCCATGCAGGACGAATGATGTTGCAGCTGGCCAATGCTGTTTCTTGTCCACAACTACGTACTGGATGTGTTTAGCAAAGTCTCTATGTGGTCAAAACCCACAGGTTAGCAAAAGCTTCCCTAGACAACACTCTTCAGCCTATCAAAGAATAACAGAATCATCAAAGTTGGAAAAGATCACAAAGGTCATCTAATCCAACTGTACTCCTACCACCAATATTGCTCACTAAGCCACATCCCTCAGTATCACATTTCCATGGTTTTTCAACACCTCCAAATTGGAGACTCCACCGCCTACCCAGGCAGCCTGTGCCAATGCATCACCATTCTTTTGGAAAAGAAACTATAACTAATATCCAGCCTGAACTCTCCCTGGCACAACTCAAGGCCTCTCCTCCTATTCTGTCCAATTTGCTTTCACAGGACAAGCACTCTGACATTAGTGGCCAGCAGTTAATTCAAGACACAGAAAACCCAGCAGAAGCTCCTTCTAAGAGCCTCAGACAGGAGCATACTCTGACTGATGAGCACTAAGAAATACAATGATTTTTGTATTTTTTGGCAGAACTGAGTTTAAGCTTGTCTACATGAGCTTGTTATTTCAAACAAACAGAGGATGGGAATTAAAGGAATCGTGGCTGTTCCAGAATAGCTCTGTGTGGGCACTCGGGACAGGATAGCTGTGCCAAGTGGACTGCTGGTGTCAGCAAAGCCACTGGGACCCACATGTCAAGCACAGGCAATGGCTGACCCTGAACCCTGGGAACATTGCTGGCAGAGGCAAGGCATGGCAAAGTTGAGGGCCAAAGGTTGATTGGGAGAGACAAAACCCATGCTAAGCCTGGGCCGTGGTTGCCCAGGGTGACTGTCCTGGCTCCAGGAGAAGCTGGGATGTTTTGCCAACATGATGTGAAAGTTAGAACATGGAAATTAACTGATTAAGCCACATAGCATATATGGTGTTACTTTTACACTGGGAAAATATAAGTAGTTTTCTCTCTTTTTTTTTTTTTTGGTCTCTACTTAAGCCTAAACTGGGATAGAATTCAACAAGATCAAGTGCCGGGTCCTGCACTTTGGCCACAACAACCCCATGCATTGCTGAAGGCTTGGGGAAGAGTGGTTGGAAGGCTGTGCAGCGGCAAAGGACCTCGGGGTGTTAGCTGGCAGCCAACTGGACATGAGCCAGCAGTGTGCCCACGTGGCCAAGAAGGCCAGCAGCAACTCAGCTTGCGTTAGAGATAGCGCAGACAGCAGGAGCAGGAGGTGATCGTCTCTCTGTACTGGCACACCTCAAGTCAGGCAGCGCCTCGAGTGCTGTGTTCAGCATTGGACCCCTCATTATAAGAAGACATTGAGGTCCTGAGCAGGGAAGGGCAATGGAGCTGTGAGGGATCTGGAGCACAAGTGTGATGGGAATGGCTGAGGGAGCCGGGATGGTTCAGTGTGGAGAAGAGGCTCAGGGAGACCTCAGTGCTGTTTACAACTGAGAGGAGACTGTGCTTGGTGGGGGTCGGCGTCTGCTCCCAGGTAACAGCAATAGGATGAGAGGTGGTGGCCTTAAGTTGTGTCAGGGGAGGTTCAGGTTGGATGTTAGGAAGAATTTCTTCTCAGGAAGAGTAGTTGGGCACTGGCACAGGCTGCCCGAGGGAGTGGTGGAGTCACCATAACTGCAGATATTCCACAAGTTTGGAGATGTGGTACTTAGGAACATGGTTTAGAGATCAATATTGGTGGTAGGTAGATGGTTGGACTAGATTATGTTAGTGGTCTTTTCTGATCTTAATGACTCCATGATTCTCTGCAGAAATGATAGACGTCTGAGATGCTGCACGGAGGCACAGCTTCCAGGCCTTTCCCAGGGAGCATCTCAGGTCTCTATCGTCCACCTTGTCCAGGGTGAGTCCCTGTTGCCCCAGTACTGGGTGGTCCTTTCATATGTAGCTGTACATTCATAGCTGTACATTCTGTTTCCAGTGCCATTGCAAGGGATTTTGGGATCAAATGTGGGCATCTTACTGAAAGAAGGTGACCTTTGGCTCCTCTTAAACGTGGGATCCTGGGGTGCTTTGTCTCATCCAAATTAGACATCTATAATAGGACAGAGGAATCCTCACTGCAAGGATGGATTGATTCACGCCATCCCACTTCTAAGGCTGAAAGAGTACAGGTTCTCCACCCTCCAGATGGCTAAGAGCAGAGAAAATGAACCTCAGCAAAAGGAGTTTGAGAGATCAGCAGATTCCTGAAAAAAAACTATCAAGGCAGAGCTTTTGGCGCATTATCTGTGATTGAGATCTATGATATGAATGTCTGTGTTGTGTATTTCAAGTCCAGTTCCAGCTATCAGCTTCTGGAAATCAGACGGACTGAGGACTGAAAAAATGGATTTGGGTCCGGACCTGAATTCCTTCATGTGAGTAATATGTCTTGCCCTGGACCTAATTTCCCATTTCCCTAAAAGTGCATACTGCTGGAGAATAAGAAACACACAGAATCTAGTGAAAGTTTTCTTTGAAGACAAATGCTATTGAGATCTAGCAGGAGAATAAAAGGCAAGTTTTATTTTGTCAACTGTGCACAAACACAGTCATTCTATAAACAAGGAATTGATTCAATTGTTTCCAGAGGTATGAGAGTGAGTGAGCATGCTGAGATTTAGCTATTAAAGACAATCTCAGGAGAGGGAGGGAATTATTCTCCAGTTGAGCCAAATATTTCCCTCTCAAAAAAATAAATGAATCAAAGTCATGCTCAGTCAACCAAATTATCCAAGCAGATGCCAACACCCCTGGTTTCTGGGCTGTATGTAATTTCAGGAGAGGGATGCAGAAAGGGGGGGCATCATGAAGGGGATAGGGACTGTGGTGCTCCCAGGCTGTAGATTTTTAAACAAGGTGAAGCTGGTGCATTTTGGAGTAGCTCCATGCCCCAGAGGGATGGTTTTGATTCACTTGCTGCCAAGCCCTGCTGGGAACTGATTTGTGCCTGCATAGCAACCTGTGCAGGTCTCTTGTTCCTAAAGCTGCTGCAGAAGCAGGCTCCTTGCTCCACCTGGGAGCAGCTCTGCGTTTGCTATTAGTGGATCTCATCCCTTAGTCCTCACCTTCCACTGATATGCTCTATCCTACTTGCACAAATCAGGGCCAGATGTGCTTAATTATCTCTGGAAAGGGTGTCCCACACATGGTTAGCAAGCCCTTTCCCTATTACCTAGCTGCCCCTTGCACTGATAGGCCTTTGCTCCAAGACCTCAATTCCCAGCTGCACTCAAGGCTTCCAGCTGGTCTCATTCTGAGCAGCCAAGAGCTGCTTTTCACAGTCATGTTCAGGGAAATGTATAAGCCAGACCCAAGCCACAAGTGGTGTTCCCCAGAGGTTGGTATTGGAGTCCATCCTGTTTAATATCTGTATTGATAGTCTGGATGAGGGAATTGAGTGCAAGCTCAGTAAGTTCGCAGGTGACACCAAGCTGGGGGAAGTGTTCATCTACCTGAGGGTAGTAAGGCCCTACAGAGGGATCTGGACCAGTAGGACTGAAGCTAGTTATATGAGCTTCAGCAAGACAAAGTGTCAAGTCCTGTGCATCAGGACATCCCCATGCATCGGCTGCAGACTTGGGGCAGAGTGGCTGGAGGCTGCACAGAGGCAAAGGAAAGAGTGGTCGTGCACTGAAACAGACTGCTTAAGGAGGTGGTGGAGTCACTGTCTTTGGAGGTGTTAAGGAACTGTGTGTGGCAGTGCTCATTGGTGATGTTTAGGGGAACATTCCCCCACACACCAACCACTTCCATGCATGAGGAAGGCTCTGGCTGCAAACCTGCCCTATAGCTTCCTCTAGCTGCTCCCTGACTCATGGCCCTAATGCAGTGGTGGGCAGATTGCTGAGGAGGAGTTGCCTTGAACTGACAAATCACTTTGAGGTGGAATTCCAGCCACAAGGGCTCTTCCGTTGTAGCAGCCAGAGGCCCCCTATCCTACTATGGGCAAAGCATGCAGTGACTTATCCCAGGGTTTCAGCTCTGGAAACATTTCTGTGCATCACAGGCGAGGTGTGTACCTGCTGCAGGTCAGGTCCTGGTGTGACCATATGGATCCAGGTCCACGCCTTGATCAGTGTGCAGAAGGCCTGGGTTTGAATTGCAGAGTGAAGAGAGGGGTTTAGAGGGGGGACAACAAAAAAGCAATTTTGTAAAAGGTTGAGGGTGTGCTGGAATCCTACTAAAGCCCCAAAGTACAATGTGATCAAACCCAAGGTAGAGAGTTTATGCCAAGACCGATCTTGATCTTTTTGGGTAACAGGGACATGTACTGAAGACTTGAGATTTGGCACGAGTCACACACATGTGGACTGACAAATGAAGAAGCTTATAAGCCATGTCATATAAATAGAGCTCTCACAGCTGTCTCAGTGTAGTTCCAGCATATGGCCTTGCCACCTGCAAGATCAGGGCTGCAATGAGCCGAGAAGTTTTCTTCTAGCCTAGTGGCTCTTCACCATGGCAAATGGTGCTGCTCAGTCCTTCAGCTGTTTGCAATCTGCCCAGTCCATTTGGAAAGCTGATCCAGAGCTTTTACTGAGAAACCACAATTCTGACACTGACTCTTTGAGAAGTGTTCATGAGCAAAGGGTAGAATTTATTCATCTCACTCCAGGAATGCTGTAAAATGGGAAAAACAGAAAGCCAAATGTGAATTTTCTCCTCCCTATGCTCAGTGCACTGAACATCCCATTTCTGGGCTGTCGACACAAGAAGCCATGAATCTTGGGTCAAACACAAATAAATAGTTCTGTTAGAGCAGTCCTTGGGTCAAGCAGCACTCTTACAGCTGTGACCACAAGCAGGTGCTTCAGAGGAAAGTGGGAGGATCTATCACAGCCTTTCCCTTCACACTCTTTCTCACATCTGCTCACTATGTTAATTGCTGCCTCTCAAAATGCATGTGATTTCTCTGCTTTTGGTTCACATGGTTGACTGAACATAGCCATGGCTCTTATGTGGGGCTCCTGGGTCAGCTACAGCACTGATGTTGGTGATGCCCAGCTAGGGAATAACTTGCCCCCAGTAATCTATGTCCTGTGTAGGAGACAGAGCCATGAAGAACAATTGCCCATCCATCTCCTCCCAGTCTTGGGTTCCTCCAGATGCTCGGATGTAGAAAATACAGTTTCCCAAGCTGCAGCTAGCCAACTTATCAACAGCCATGACCTGGAGAGCTTTCTTTAGAGCCACCTGTTCTCCTTGCAAAGCTTGCAAACCTCCTTCTATCACACTGTATCTGACAGCAACTCATAAATCAGCCCACAGTTGCTGGCATCCCCTTTGAGGATAGTAGTCTGCAGCTTTTGTTTGGGGTAAAGTATGAGCGCAGGTGAGGAGGGCCCTGGGGGAAGCAGCCTGCTATGGATACAGCTGTGGTCTCTGGGAGTAATGACAGGTCCCACGCTCACATACAGAGCTTAAGGCAGACTGGCAGTCACAGAGCAGTGGTTTCACAGTGGTCAGATTCAGGCAGGACGTGGGCACATTGCTGCTCTGCCAACCTTTTCCCTCATTACCCACAGCTGCAGCCACACCAGAGAACACTGCAATTGCTTGTGCCCTCCTTCTTCTCAAGGGTGGCTTCACCTGATCACCTCAACTATTTTCTTTGGCCTGCTTCTTTCCCAACAGACTCACCTCCTTTTTTTTTTTTAGCAGAGATCCAGTCTGCAATGTTCAGAGATTATTCCTGAAATCAAGATCAGTGCTGCAAAGTAGAGCTGAGCTCACCACCAATCTTCCTTTCCCAAGTCTGTGTTTGGTAATACAGTTTGATCCAAATCTCTGGATTTTCATATTGTGGGCAGAGACTGTAGTTTAAACTGTCCTGTACCAGATTTTATTTCTCTCCCTGAACAAATTGAAAAGGTTTCCTTCAGAGCCAAAATGACATAAAATAAAATACAGCAGTTAAAAATAAAACTCTGAATCTCACCAATAACAGAGCCCAGCAAGTATTTCCATCTAATAGTAATGCATTACATACGGACTCTGGGCAGTACTCTCCCTTTGAAGATCATGGGAATTTTGCCATTTATTTCTGCATAAAAAATAAAACGCTGAATGCTCAGTATGAGTCTGGTTGGCTGCTGACTGAAACACTTTGCAAAGTGAAATAATTCTAGGCTTTCTACCCAACAACAGTCACCTTCTCTGAGTCTGACACCAGTAACATGGGTTTGGAAAAGTCCAGTGTGTTGGGAGATGGATGGTTTGAATGCAAGCTGATGGATTTGTTGCATCAACCATACTGCTGGTGGCATACCTGGCACATTTGTGATGTCAATAGGGCCATTAGGTGATTTTGTTCCATGTCCCCTTGAAAGTGGCTTGAAGCATTGCCTTCTTACTGTGTGTGGGGGAACTGGAGCCAGGAGCCAGGAGTGTTAAATGGCAGCTGAAAGGGCCTGTGGGAGACAGCAAAACAACATCTGGGTCTACAGATTTCCTAGGTTGAAGTCATCTGCCCTGGATCCAAGCTGGATGGGGCCCTGGGCAGCCTAATTTTGTGGTTGGAAACCCTGACTGCAGGAGGGGCGTTGGAACTTGGTCATCTTTAGGTCCCTTCAATCTAAGGCATTCTATGGGTCAAACTGATTAACCCTCCAAACCCTGACTGATGATCACCTTCAGATACTAAGGCACAGAGTATGCAACCAGAATTCAAGATATCAAATGAAATTGAGACTTCCGCAGTCCTGGGGCCAGATCCTCATGTTCCCCACCCAGACAATGGAGAAAAGCAGTTACTGTTGAATAGTAAATTGGAAGACCTCTAAAAGGTGCATACCTCCCTTCTCTGTTTGACGTAAGGGTGCGTGCACTAGCAAGCAGTCTGAATTGCTCTTTTGAACTGCAGAGCCACTGAAAATATTTCAAATACAGCCTTTAACCTGATCTTCTGCCGTATCTTCTTTGACCAACAATTTTAACACATAAAAGTTCTGCTAAAACCTGAACACATTCCTCTTCCCCTCTAGCCGTCTACAGCTAATGATTAACGTGCTGGTGGATAGAAGCTGTTCTTAATGAGCAAAAAGTCTGTTGCAAAACACATCTCCAGCTCAGCAGAATGCCAGTGGTTTTGTTTGAGAATTACACCAACTTCACTGTCTTTACTCTCTGTGAACACCAAGTCCTTGTGCCAAGGACCAAGAAGTCTGCTTGAAACTTCCCAAAATCAAGTTGTGTTCTTCTGTGTTCAGAAATGATCTATCCTTGATAATCAGTGTTTGAGTCCAGATTGTGCCATTTAGTCACGTATGTTGATACACAGGAAAAAAAAGTAACAGTAAATAGCAGATTTCCCATTCCTTCTTTCCTCCCTTTTTAATTTAAGCTGAAACTGAAAATGTTTCAACTTCTTGTTGTCCTTCTCCAAAACAAGAAGGAAAACCGTGTTTTTAAACAGCTCATTTGTAGAAGAGTGTTAAACAAGATGACACGCAATCCTTACTGGAACAGTGGCCAAAAATGTCACATATGCTGTGAAAAAAACCTTCCATTTCATCTCTCAGCCCTCTTTTGTGGAAGGAATAGTTGGATCAGTTGTTGAATCACTTGAAGATGTAGCTCAAAATTGGCCTTGAGTGACCCTGAGAGATTAGCTCCAGTGTACCACCTTTCTATAAACACCCTTATCTTATACAAATGAGCTCTGAGTTTAGCTTTAGTAAGTCCATCTTTCTTTGTATCCCATTTTACACATTCCTACAAGCTTCAAATTATTTTTCCCTTCAAAAATTCTCCAGAGGCTGCCTGAAAACTCCCTTATTATCATAGACAGTTCACTCTCAGCAATAGACTACTCTGGTGTTCCTCGTATGGGCTTAGCTGTCCCTGGAGACATTGAGCTTATATTACCCAACTGAAAACAGACTAGCAGTGGAAAAAAGCAGGAGGCAATTTAATCTGAGGATTGGGAAGTGCACAGCAATGAAAAAAATTCAATGAGAATGGCTGAATAAAAAGAAATCGGAAAAGAGATGATCCTTAACGCAGCATAATTCAATGGCTTATTTGACAAAAAAGGGCGAGAGTTGGAGCAAATGTAGAAGTTAAAAATAATAAGAGCAACAGCAAACCGGTGGCTTGCAAGAAAAGAGTAGGAGGGATTGAATGAGAATGCGCAGGTGAAAAAGATACGAGCAGTAGGTTCTTCTGGGAAGGAAGCAAGCTGGAAAATCGCACTGAAATTCAGAAAGTGTTGTTTTGAGATAAACTATCATATAGGTAGATCACAGCACCACTTTCAATGGCCCATAAACTTTGTGCAGATGGAGATACACAATGGGCAGAAGAGGTGCCTGAGTCTCATGGGACACTGTGGGGAAGGGGAAAATAGGTGAAATCTGGGCAGGAACTGGAACCAAGTGTGATTTTTAGCTTAAATTCTTAAGCTCTGACATATCCAGCACGTTTGCAACTCTCACAATATCTTCACCAACACCTCTGTTTATTTGTATATAATTTTGGTAACAAGAAGGGGAGAAAAATAACTCTCTATGAAAGGAACATTGGAACTACGCTGGAACCATCTTTATGGGCTGTAAGATCCATGGAAGTCACAAGCAATTAATCTGCCACAAAAAAATCACCGTTAGACAATGGTTTTTTTTACTCACTCTAGAAAAAAGACACAGCAGGAACTCCACTTTTCATGAAGTTTTCTATGTCAGTCTGAGGGAACCCATTTTCTTCATTATCCTTATGTTCAGTTTTTAATTATTACCTTCTTCTCCTTGTAAATTTAAATCTGTTCCCATTACACTTAGAGAACAATAATGAAACCCTCCTGTAGCTATTTTAACACCTTTAAATTCCCATGGAAGTTAGCCAAAAATTCTGATGGATAGTGAAATGCCTATTTTATGTAAGGGGAGTAAAGTTCAAATCCTACTCAAGCTATATTTATGAAAATAAGATGTCGGTTAACTCTGTTTTGTTGTCCAACAAGATGATTAAAGAATAATCCTTGTTCATTATGCTAAAATGACAGTCAAATAGGTATCAACTTGTCCAAAGTATTTCACATCCCCTAAAGATAAGCTAGGAATACCCATAAGGACACAACATCTTCAGACAGACTTGTAGGAGTTACCTGTGCAATCATCAAATTACACAAGAGGAAAAAAAGAAGGTCAGGAGACTGAGCAGGCTGAAGTATCACACTGAGAAAAGTGGAGTTTGTGAAGTCCAATGGAAGACAATGGTAAATCTATTGCTGGCTGCACTGGAGGCAGAACAATATGGATTTCCAAAGCAATCTCGCCTTCCTCTCAAGAAGTGATACAAAACCAATAACTACTAGCTGATGAGGAGACATTCAGCAAATACATCACTGTGTATCCATGGCCAACCTAGATACATTCTCTTCTCCTGTGTCTGCTTGGCTCTGATTTCAAGAGGACCACATACCCAGCAAAGATAGGGTGGGAGATGCAACATCTCTGGCTCATTACAAGTGTTCTGTCATGTAGTTACAAGCATATCTTCTGTTGTTAGCATTAACTATCTACTTCTGTCCTTCACTGTCATTGTTTTTCCCTTAATTAAAGCCATTTAAACCACCTTTACTCCCTGTTACAATGATGGTATAGCCTACGTGGTCCACAAGAACCCCAAGTCTCATATCCTTCCTAGATCCATAAGCCTGCTCACATTTGCCTTGGATGCACCGTGTCTTCTGTCATTAGCCTGATTAAATAGCCCAAGGCATACATTTACACCTGCACAATATTCTCTCTCTCCCTGAAGGAGAACTTTGAGAGGAAAATTACCAAGTGCCTCTGCTGCAACTATCTGTACAAGAAAAAGTTTGTGTTAGACCAGGGAAAACCCTGGGTTTTCTGCTTCTTTCTACATCCATCACTAATTATTCTACTCATTTTTTGGGGGAGAACAATTAAAAGTAAAGAAGAAATCAGTTGAATAGCCAGAATACAAATGAAAATGATGTCTTTTTAATAAATGGAAAATTTCATGGAGCATATGTATTAATCTGCTTTTATTAAATGAGTTCGAGTAGCATAGTATGCAGATGAAAAATGATCAAAGTATCTGTAACTCACATACTTTTGCTAGAGGCACCAGTTGAGGAGGGAATCATCAACAGCAGGCACATAAAGTCCTTGACCTGCTCATCAGTGCCACTCAACTTAGAGACAAGGAAACAATGTTCACATGCCCACTGCACTCATGCAAGGGAACTTAGCAGAGATATCCTAAGGGATTGAGGTAGTTCAGGAACAGATCCATCTAGATTAAATTGTACATTGCAGTTCCTGAGCTGAGTCCAGAACCCAGGACCACACTCAAGGGACTCGACTTCTGGGAGTCTCTCAGGTAGCACTGCCAGCTTGGACACAGTAGGCTAATTCCTTAAGTTGAGCCCTTGAAGGGCTGTTGATGAGACATTTTCCACATCTGAGTTGTGTGGTCCAGTTTTATGTTTATTTTTTCTTCATCACGGTTGATACACTGAGACAGAAATGAGTTATAAAATAGTAACATGATCGTGTATATCCTGGAGAGTTTTGCAAATGAAGATGTCTGAGTTCAGTTGTCAGTATGTGAGCGAGGTATCCACGTCAGTGGAGATCTAAAGTTCAGTTCAGTGAACTATGAATTTTCAAGGCAAAGAAAACAGGTTCTGCTACAAGCTGGACAATGAAGATTTCTTGCAAGGGATAACAGTGCAAGGAAAGAAGTAAAATACACATCGAGCAGTCCTTGCATGACAGCATATCTCTTTTTTTATTTTAAAATTTTCTCTTGGTCAGAAGACATCAGCCCCTAACACACATTCTGTACACATTCTGTGAAAAAAAACACTATGCATAACTAAAATCACAGCTGCCTCTGGACCAGAACAGGCTAGTTGGTTAATACGTCACAAACCACTTCACATAAATGAAAATAACTTCATTTTCATTTAATGTGCATGTGCACCTTTGAGTTGTGTGGGTTGTCACTGGGTTGTGGGAAGTGTTTCATGTATATATGTTTCTCTAGAATCACATACTTCCAGAGTAAATAAGTTAATCAATGACTTTGTTTCTTTCTCAGTTT